CTAAATGCACAAGTGACATTTTCTTTGACTTCCCACTGTGTGTTTTGTAGATAACACACGATGCAGAACACTGTTGACAGTGCTTTAGATTTCAATCTCTCAGTATAACCAAAGGCCCCTCTGTTCCTCTTAGCCAGTTATAACCATTTGACCTGGAATCTGATCTCACTGTTGAAGTGAACATGGGTCCTGTGATCCACAAAGCCCACAGTCTGCCTGTTTGTCTTTTCCAGAAGGACCACTTGAAAACAGAAAAGGCCATTTCAGTCCATCAAGACAACATGGATTTCTAATTTTCATTTGTTCTTTGATCGTAGATACTTGATTGAACTTCACTGAATTAGAAAACTTGCATGGCTCTGGAAGCTGAGAGGAAACCAGAACTCATAGCACAAACCCAAAGAGAGCATGCAGACTCCACACAGACAGACACTTTATCCCAGAATCTAACCCAGGACGCTGAAGCTATGAGACAGTAGTGTTTACCACTATGTCACTGTGCCTCCTGTTTTGTCTGTACAGACGCCCAGAGCTCATTTTCCACAGCTTATTCTGAAGTCTTTCCTTGCCAAAGCAACACCTTGCAGAGGAGAGTTGTTGTTAACCACATGGCACAGATACTCCCACCTTGCCTCCTGGGACAGCTGTGTCACCCCTCCTGGTCACCGCAGGACAGGTGTGCACTCATCACACGCCCAGCCAAGAGCTCATCAGTCTGAGTCAGTATGCAGTTCCCAAGAACGCTGCCTGCCCATGACCTCATTTATTGGCAAGAGCTCTTGATCACATTCAGAAAATTCTTGGCTTAGCAATCAAGATCTCTGAGAACAATACATCAGAGCCCCACCCCAGTCAGGCTCCCATGAATGTAACTCTCTTTTCCTTACCTGCTGCTGTACTTTTCTTCAGCCCCACCCTCCTTAAACTAATCTGGCATGTCTACAAAACACAGGACAGAGGCGATGGATCAAAATGTTCCCACAGTGAGTGGGAACCAAAGAGTTCTTTTCTTTATGAGATAACTCTGGACAATGGCTTCACACATCTTGAGTGTAATTAGACTGTTCTGTTTCCGCCCATCCTCTTAAACTCTGCACCGCGAATTCGGTTCTGGAAAAGGAAGAATCGGACTCCAGGGGGATATTTCTTTTCAGATGTTCATTCGCTGGATAAAGAATGTTAGTTAGCTGTGTTACTCCTTTGACTGAACCTTTTTATAGGAACACAATTCACAAGTTGTCATGGCTATAGCACATTTCTGAACACCCTGAACGAATCTCAGTGGCCATTTAGAACTGCCAATTTTCACCTTGTTTCAGTGAGATTGGCACACTTTCAGAATGCAAACAACACAAGCTCAAGATCTTCACAAGTGTGAAAGCATTAGGTTCTCGGGGGAATGAAAATTAGAATATTTCTATTGTTGTCTCCTGGTCACTACTTTAGATAAGGCTAACTAAGACTAGTTTGTTTAAATAAATACTGAAGTTCATCAAAGGCTTCCTGTGTTTCAACTGAATTGTTTACTGCTTCTGGCCAATGATTTGTCCTCCTGGTTTATTGC